TTTGTAAAAATCTGATGTTGACGGTATAAGATTTGTATCACCGCAGAAGCAGTATCTGAATTCGGTTGTAACTACTGAAGTTATAGCAACAAGTAGTGAGATATAATGATAATTTTGTAAAAAAAAAAAAAAAAAACATTTGCATTTGGTGACTGTGCTACAATGACTGCATTTGTTCCATCCATCCATCCATCCATCCATTTTCTGAAACCGGCTATCCTATTCAGGGTCGCGAGGGGTCCGGAGATTATCTCGGAGGCTACGGGCGCAAGGTGGGGAACAACCCAGGACGAGGCGCCAACCAGTCACAGGGCACTGCCGTTACTCAAACTTGTTATTTATTAAAGTGTATTTATACATCTGTCTGTCCATCTTTCGTGGCCATTTTATCCTGCACAGGGTCATGTTGAGCCTGGGATCCTTCCCGGGAAACACAGGTCACACACACAATCACATACTGAGCAATGTATTTACTCATCATGCTTTAAAATGACAGAACTATTAAGTTAAGTACAACATTAGTTCCTTTCATAATAAATAAAACACTTGGCCGTCCGTTAACACTGTTATGCAGTAACCTCCGTCGTGCTCTCGCCGTGAGAAACACTTCGCATTCCTGCTAATGTTTATGTCTCTGACGATTCAGACGTATTCCCACTTGAGACCATTAAAAGCTGTTAGAAAATTGACGCACCACCCTCTCAATGCCAGAGTAAGCAATACCAAGGTCTGGACCATGCAAATGATCTATTCATTGCGGCTGAAATGGGGGCATCGTGGATTAAAACAGGTGAAAGTATTCATAGTTGACCTTGAGATCGTTTTCTCATGTATGAAATGACAGCAGCTGAGAGGCCTGACAGATGACTAGAAGTGTTCCTTTTGTATGAAGATGGCCTTCTTTTCATTTCAAGATGTCTGACGACCACAGCAAATAGCAGCAAGGCCGGTAATTAAATGCGGTGATCTCAGGAGACTGTCTGCATATCAGGACAGCTGACGCATGCAGCTGGTTCACTGGGGATCTCATGACCTGCAGTCATGGCAAGCAAGTTTAGCGCATGTTAGCACTTCGGTGTACCGGCCTGTTTCATTTTTAGAGAGCGGTCAGTCAATACAAACCCACCAAAGCGGGAATAGGATTATGATTACAGTTAAGGTCATATGCAAAAAAGCTTAAATTTCTTTCCAGGTTGTAGCTTTCACCGTTACTGATGTCCAAACACCGCTATTCCGGTACCTATTTCGTTTCAGAGAGGCTCAATTTATACCCAGTATTTCAATCACATCACAAAAGCAGCACTTTCCAAAACAAAGCTGTCTAGACAGAACTTTTTTTTTTTTTTTAATTTTCACCCCCAAACACTGTAATGTATCTGCAGTCGGTGACATTTCTACTCCATATGTTTACCCCGTCTGTCTGTAATTGCCTCCACGTTTGTTTGATGGTCAATGTGCAACAGGTGTGCTTTAATATGCATTTATTCCCAGGGGCCGTAAAGGGAGTTGACTCCAGTCCAAAGTATGAAATTAATAAGAGATGGAAAGTGACCACGTTGTTAAAAGAAGGAAAGCGTAGCCTATCTTAGATCCTGCAAGTGGGCAGTTGTCTTCACAGAGGAGAACGATGATTATAGAGTGTAAAACACATCACGGGTATAAATCACAGATTTTATTTTATTGTCGAGTCATGGAGAATTCTAGACGTGTCTATTTTAAAGGTCTCTGAGGCAGGCACCCAACACAATGGGCCTCCCCAACTTCGAATTGTCCCTTTGGTGATAAATGCCCCCATTTTGGTGCTTTGATTTTCTGCACTTAGACCATAAACATCATAAATGATACATCACATACGGACCTGTTCTCTCTCACAAAACCCAGAAGTGACCTGACGTCTCTGATTAGCTGGATGGGTGAAACCGCTTAGAGATCAACTGCTGATGTGATGCAACCATGGGCCTCCGGCTTCGGCAGTGTGATGATTGCCGCTGTTTTCCTCCGTCTCGCAATATTGACATCGAAACAGAAACCCAGAAATAAGGACGTACATAGAGGACACTAAGGTTCTAGCATTGATCAAAACAATTGGGATTTAAAGTCAATATTTGAAGGAGCTTGAAACTACAGCACCAATTAAGATTTACTAAGACGTCTGAATTACCCCTGAAACTGAGAAAAGAAATAAAAAATTTTTACCAGTATGTCCACACTAGAAGGGTCCTGCTGTGAAATGTTAAGACGTTTTTCAGCTGCCTCTGACACTGAGAGTGTTGTGGGATGGCAATATTAGTAAGAAGGATTCAATGTTTATGGTCCTGCGGTTGTTTTAGTACTTCTTCCCAAACGAGACTTTCAAATGCATGATTTAACTTTATCACATACTTCTATCCGCTGGTAATAGAGCCCCTTTTCCAGAAGGCATAAAAATCAAATAAGATTGTGTTAGAGATTAAAGCAAAGGGGTCATTTTATTATATGGCGCAATAACTAATTCTCTGACGATCTCGTTCGAGCTTTTAAAGCCAGGCTGGAAAGTAATTAAAAAAGATTACACAAGTGAAATGAGAGTCGAATACACTGCTGGGCAGCTCAGACGCAAGCCAATGTAGCCTCTCTATGCTACTCTCATCTGCGGAGGACGCTTTCAATTGAAGTTCATTACATCCCCTTTGGCCAGATATTCCTCAATACGCTCCTTTGTTTTTGAAATCCTTGGATCCTTGAGGACAGCAGGCTTGAGTTACATGTTGGAATATCACGACGAGTTTGGGAAGCATATCAAAGCCAGAAGCCGCCATATCGTCCGGGCACAGTCACCGCGTCTTTGCCTTATGACCTACAGACAAGGCATGCCACCCCCCCCTCAACGCCATGTACCCATGTTACTGTTATGATGGCTTGGAAGGACTCGAGTGGTTCTGTTCTGCTATAAGAGCGACCAAAAATAAAATGATGAAATTAAGCTTGATTTTATCTGCCATTACAGGACTTGAAACAGTAGAAGTCGTTACAAACAAACCGGATACAATTGCACAATGCATCACTTCCTTTTGTGCCGAGATATCAATTTTGGTGTGGCTATCTATCTTTCGGTCGATTTCAGACACTGCGCCAATGCCTGCGTAAAGGGGGACTGAAACACATTAAAAATGAAATAAAATATCTGGGAAAGGCATGGACTTTAGGCCATGGGGCGGCTTATCTAAGCTCACAATATTACAAACGCAGCTGGTCATGACTAACCCCTTTAGCTTTTGTAAACTACAAAGGTCCTTTAATCTAAACCACTTGGTTTCCGTTTTCATTAATCCGGGATAGCTAGCAATGTGATAAAATCCCAACAACTTCCGTACTTACAGATAACCCCTTTGTGTACTTAAGAGGGGGGATGTGATCTAGGATATCAGTCTTTCAAAGGTGGACAGCGCAATTAGCTTAGCTTTGCCCTGACAGACCGCTACCTTTCTGGTCACTCCAGTCCAGAGTGCTCACTCTAGTCTATGACCCATTGGAACAGACTTCAAGCTCAAAGTCAATGCTTCAACAATATCTCAGGACGTTACATTTAATTATATACATTTTTTGTCTTGTCTTTGTGTCCCTTTTTCTGCACTTTATGTTTGTACAATATGTGGTATGTGAAATATATTGTCTAGTCAATATGTACATGTTGTATGTAGCATGTAAAATATTGTAAATGTGTAAATGTAGTACCTTGGGCCTAAGGTGACCACCTAATCCATATCAGGAGGGACACTATGAGCTACTTCAGGCTATGCAAACTACTTTAAAACCGAAAGGCTCATGTGCTCAGCTAAATTGTCCGGTTCATCGTATGCTTTTACTGGTTTGTTTCCTTGATCAAAAGACTCATCCAGCTGTTTCACGTTCGTGACACATGCATGACTATAGGAGACTGACCAATCAGCACACAGCAACAACTCGGTGCTGAATTGAAATCCAGGTCCTTTTAATTGACATGGTTGAAATGGTATGGTATGAAATGGATTTACAAACCCTGTCGTAGCTCATAGTGTCCTGCCTGACATGGATTATAATGGTTATCACCCTATTTGGGACTTTTGACAAAGATCTATTGATTTTCAATCTATAGGACTATTATTTCCATTTCCAGCATTACCAATTGGAAAGACAGATAATAGTACTCTGGGCTATACATGACTTCAGCTTCATTTGTTTCCTTGGTGTCCCCTTCACCACAGGGGGGTGCTTAAGGAGTAAAGAATGTTTAAATAACGAGTTCAGAAAAGCTAAATATGCTTTTAGCTAAATCTCATAAACTGCTTGCTAAGGTGTAAGGTGTTTTTTCTCTTATTTGGATTAATAAATCAGCCCATAAAAACATAACCATTCGGCAAGTCTTAGCTATATACTAATTGCATTTAACGCCAATTAGCATTATGTATCCGCTAAGGTAGCGGAGACGTTGGTCTGAGGTCACGAGGTAACATGGATGCACAGGTGATGGAGCTTTCCAACGGCTCAGGGAGCGATGTCAGCATGAATTTGGAGAAAGTTAAGAAAGAAATGGGCCAAAAAACCCAGAAAATGCCAATTATCTGAATGTCACTTATCTAAATATAGCAGCGCTCTGACGCCGGACGACGCACACTGGTCACGATCCGCATCTGTGTGTGTGGTGGAGAAAATAGCCTCCGTGGAAAGTCTTGTTTCTAAGCCATCCGCGGCGGAAATAGCGACGATGGGCCGAGTTTCCACGCTGGCCGAGCGAACGGTGTCCAGCCAAACTTTATATTGGCCCGACATCTGACTTGGAAACATGCGACACGTCAGATGTAGCCGAAGGAAGAAAATCTGCCAGTCGGAGGAGGAACGCTGAAGAGAAAGCCACTCTGAAGATGTGATGTGGGAAAAGTCAACAGTGCAGAGATAGCTAAGATCCACTGAAATGCAAAATGAAGGGACTAGATCGAATTTACGTGAAAGAACAGCACACGGCTTCATGAGGCACACAGCTGTAACGTTTTTTCATCTTTTATTTTGCAAAAAAAAACGTAGCAATGTAAAATGAAATACAATGATGTCCAATATTTAATACAACCCGGCATCTCTCGACAAAGTGTGGACTTTCCTACCAAAGTAGCAACAAGGCTAGCTTTTCAGAAGGCACTGCATTTTATTTGCTTTTAGTATAAATATAGAATTCACTTGAGGATGAATGGCGATTTTGAATCCATTCCCTCTTATCACAGAAGCCATTTAACATCCATGTAAAACATTGCAGCGACCGCACAGAGCTGTATGTCTGACATTATTGCCATTTTAAAGCCTCTCTTAGCAGAAAATTTAAAACGTCCAAATTTAAAAGAAATATCTGGCATTTGAATTCAGCCGTTTTTCATGGGTAGAGTGTGGGACATAGACGACGGAGATGTGTGAAAACATCCATTATTCAAGCTCAAAAAGAAATTTACACCCAATTAAATATCTTCCCAGTTTCTTCACAGACACTGTAATGATGAGACTGTTTCATCCAAATCACTGTTGTAGGAAAACCCTGCAAAAGCAGCAGACCCGTAGACGGACAATGTGAACTTAAATTGCTTATAATACATTTCTGTAAAAAATAAGACATTTTTGTGTTAAACTTGCAGGGAAAATAAATGGCAAGACCATGCATATGATGTGTCCTCCCACATGTACGGTACATAGAAAGCAGCATCTGTAAATGGATGCATCTGAAAAGTTGGGCCTATTTGCCCTGGACTGTGGACTTCATAGGATTATAATTATAAAAGGCAAATGAGACCCCAGATGTTACATGCCCCAGCTCTCATGACAATCCCCCTCCTGCTTTTTGCTGCATCAGCAGTTTCCAGCTATAAGTCAATGGCATATGCTCTGTAATTTAATTACTTCAGTGAGTCCGATGATGTCACAAAACAAAACGGCTCTTTATGGGAGCAAGTCATGGAGATCTCTCTTCTTCCCCCCCCCCCCACACCTCCTCAGCCCTGTCCTGCCGTTTCACCGTCGACTGAAGTGGAGCCAGATTCTCATGGATGTACAATAAAACCTCAATCCCCGGCCTAATTCAAAGCAGACTTGGGACGAAATAAAACACTTAAATGGTCAAAGAAGAAGCTGGAAAACATGGCTGGCTCTTCAACTCCAAACTAAAGTAACTTCTATTTGAATTACCAAGAATTTTTTTCCTTATAATTAGTAAAATTTTTTTTTTTTTTGGTTATCACGTTACACATATTGCAGTGTTTTAGTGCTCCCATTTTTACAAGGCAGGACGCTTTTCTGATAAACATCACGTAATTCATCCCATGGTTCCTCAGCGCTTTTTAAGTTTGTTAAACTGCGACTTTATGGTCCTCATTCACTGCAGTGGCGACACTTGCATGTGATCTTCTGGGATGGCCCTCTTCTGAGGAATCGGAGTAATTACGTATTACGTAATTATGTATTACGTAATTATGTTGTAAATCTGGACTTATTTAAATTCATAAATTTGCTCAACAAACATCACACGTGTGGAATGACACCATCTCCATCCTTCATGTTAACATCTCACATTTTGGCAAAATGGGTTTGTGATGTTTAAAATAACTATGCTACGGATATTTAGTTAATGAACCTTAATGCTTGAAACCAAAATTAGCATATAAATGTGAAAAAATGTTTTTGCAGACTTTGTTATGACCTATTTACAAAATGTGTAAATGACTGATGTGCATATCTATCAAAGGCCTTTTTGTACAAAATATGTCCATTTAATCTTAAAAAAAAAACAAAGATGATGTAATTTTTCATGCAAATACAGAATAAAATTAAAAGCAGACATGTTTTAAGTTCTGGTCTTACAACTGGGGTCTCAAAAGTAAAATGAGAACTATTGTGATTGTATTCATTGAAAAAAACAGAGTTTGTCACAAGCCTGATGTATCGTGACTTTGCTTACATAACACTGAGAAGTCTGTTTAAATGCGTTAATAACTTGATCTAATACTAGCAATTCCTCAAGCAACATTTCTGTGAAAGACTGGAATCAGCACATAAATGTAACATTTAAAGTAAAGCACATTTTACAATGTAGCCTCATAGTGTATCCGTAATTCCATCTCTTTCAAAAAAACTGATGATGATGACTGATGACAGGCAATAAACATTGGGAGACAACATGTCCACATACAGTAACATTAGATTAAGTAGTAAATTAAAACTCTAAATTGTTAATTCTAAGTACTTCCCCTCTGCCTGCGCCCAGCATATGGAATGAGGTAAACATCTGCTAGGAGTGATGATGCTGCAGAATAGCTTTGACAGGAGATTATAAGGAAAACCAATATTTCTAAGCTTCTGTGTGTCCATTGGATAATCAACACCCCCCGCTATTCCTTCACACTTCCTCTCTCGTTAATCAGCCGCTTCTACTTAAAAAGAACGTTAAAAATCCTTTAAAAATGATAAGGTATCAGAACTGGCAGCTTTCCTACAGAGGCGTTGTTTTCCATGACACAGGAACCCTGCGGATGGGATCTGGCCAATCGAAGGCATCTCAGTATGCGACTGGAAGGCGGCCCTACAGACGCTCGGCCAGACCTCAGAGGAATTCGCCCCTGAAGGATAGTGGCTGGTTACTCTGCTGCTGCCAGCGGCTGCGGAGCCGTGACAGCGGCGTGTCTTTGGGGTTCTCAAACTCCGAGAAGCCCAGCTGGTCCAGGATGGAGTACACCCCAGCACTGGTGGCCACCTAAGAGAGAGAAGATAGCGGAGACGTCAGTCAGAGGGCTTCCAGAATTCACCACCTCTACGTAAACAATGAATTGGGCTAATCACCTGTCATTTTCGAAAGGCACCTTTAAAACCATTCCCTTTACTTAGAGAACACGATAAACAGGCCATTGCAGAACGTGCCCAATCACGTGCACCACTGGAATGCTATGCTATGTCAACAGCATGATTGCTGTTCAGTGTTTTTAGGCACGTTTCTCACTGAGATTATTTGCAGAAGGATGGTTAACGTAATAAAATTTTAAGATTAACATAAATCCACATCAAGACATCAAACATTAAACAGAAACAATAACAAGGCAGCTCTGATGATGTTCACGTTCCCATCTAACCATTAAACACCTCTGCAGGCTCACAGCTTACATTTATTTGCACTACCTTTGTTTGTAATATAATACATTTCTCTATAGGAGTTCTGAACATGTGAAACAAAGATGTTTTGAGGGACAGTAAAATCGGTTTACGTTTGAATCTTAACGTCAGGCCGAAAAGAAACACAAAGACCATGTGATTTTTAATAACAGAAGAGGACCTACTGATGACCAATTAATTGATGTTTGAGCAAGATTAACACGAAACAGCCCCCTTCTAGGATACTGAAGCAAACGCATGCAAACCATGCAACGGATTTATGGTAACAGCGAAAACATCACGCTGCGTCGCCATGAAAACGAGCCCCAGGAACAGGACTGAGAACCACGTGCCATCAAGTGGAAGGTCACCACTGGGACCACGTAAACAAGACCCCCCTCAGCAACACCTGGCAACAGCCTGACAAGTCGTCACCCCTCCCCCGGGCTGAGTCGGCGGCGACCGACTTGGACAGCAAATTAAACACACCGTTAAAGAGGGTCACAGCTTGCCTAGTTTACACGGCATACTGTTGTCAAGCCACAGGGGGCACTAACCCTGACCCCCACACCCACCCCCACCCCCCATCTAGGACTCGAGTTCGAAGCAGCCACTATTACACAAGCATCAAGTAAATATTTATTTCCATGCAGCCCGGCTTCACCCGGCAGGTCCAAGTCAAGGCGTTATAAAGATCACGCCGTTTCTCTCCGGAGTCGTTAACAGCTACGTATTCACGTAGACGTGTCACTGCTGCCTGGCTGCATCTATTCAGGCGCTCGTTCATAGTTTCCTGGGGGGGGGGGAGGAGGAGGTTTGTTGGCACATATTTGACTTTGAAAGACCACCTCCAATTGTACGAGAGAGCTACCAAGTTCACAAGGTCTCCGGATCCATTTTCTGCATTGGACGCATCTTTACCGCAATATCGACATGGTTCTGCGGAAATTTGGAAGGATTATATTGCTGTAGGGTGGTCTACTGGAATATATGAGATCAGAGGCACTGGATATTCTCAGCAAAATTGGCTCTGCTCCACTCCAAGAGGTCACCCATATCCAGAACATCAATATGCCCACTATCTGTATTTGCAAATACTTATTAGCAACCCCAATGGAGCTGATTACAAGGAGCATGTCCTGCAGTGACAGTCAGATTCATAAAGATTCACATACGAATTACCTTGATGGTACTTTTGGTAAGGTATTTTCAGTACTTTCCCCATTGACTTCCAGTCGAGTACCAATACCAAAATTTCCAGTACCCAAAGCACCAAACCAGCTGGGAGTACTTATCTGGTACTTTGGAGTGGGACTTGCAAACGTGTTCTTTGTCAATTGCTTATGCAAATAGTCTGCTTCTGACACACAATACAACCCCTGTCTTGAAAAAAAAAACTTGAACTGGAAAAAAGTAATAGTAATAATGTATGCATGGATAAATGAAGGGACCCAAACTTTAATTGCTATCTGGTCAGAAGAACCAGAATAAGATCAGGATGGCAAAATACTACAGTATTTGGTATAATATACTAGGGCGCAACAATATTGAAAAAAAATTAAACCCTTTGTTGTAATGGATAATGGAATATTTATAAAGCAAAAAAAGGAGTTCAAAATAAATTTTTCTCAAAATGATGAACAGTAAGGATGAAAATGATTATGACTGGCTCAGAGAGCGTAGGCAGAGTTTTTGCACCAGCAGAAAACTAACACTTGAAGTACCGTAGTTTTGGTATTTTTCTTGAAATGCCAAAAGTACGGCACCTTGTGTTGTGCAAAAGTCGCACAGGCTTCTATTATTACAGCATACAGTATGTAAAAGACAGCAATGTCACCTTTCAATTCAAGGACCACATTTCCTTCTGTAAATGACTATTTACCACACCGAGTTTTAGTACCTAATACTGACTGTCATTTGTACTTCATTAAATATACCTGGCATTCTCAACTAAGTGTGCCGCATTCGGATATCGTCCGACATTCATCACTGGTGAAATACTTCTAAGCAGTTTCCTAACGAGACGTATTTTGTGAAAGTACTTTTCCAGTCTATATCTATACCAGTATTATACTAAATAATCACCAGTGACGCCCAAAGCCTCTCGATTAACCCCAAGGGAAATGTAATCAACGGGTCGGAAATTATACAGTTGGGTCCCAGTGGGGAAAAAAAACACAAATTGAAGGTTTTCTTTAAACAAACTTCAAAGGGATCAGATTTAGACACCTTATTTCATTAAGACCGTGTCACCAAACCCAAGGCTATGAATAAAGATACCAGTGAGGGTAGAAATGAGCCTTTGAAAGTCAGGGTAGATGGAATTATGGAATTATGATCGGTCAGCCATTGTAGCTCAGCAATGAGAAGTGAGTTTTCTCCTTTTCCAATGACATACATGAACTCACTGGTTGTCTTATGCATCAACGCAGATGCGTGGCTACCACATATGGATCCTTAGCTGCCGCTTGCTAATAAGGAACAGCCAAGATACTCCAAATAAATCACAGCCGTGAAAAGGGAGCTTCCCATTAGCTAGCTGGTTTAAATTACGCCTGGCTCATATTTTCCTGCGTAGGCCGTGGCGTCAGCAGCAGTCAGAATGTTTTCTAGTATCGTAACGGAAATGACCCATACGTTCTGCTTTCCTTGTATACTGGAGGAAAACATGACACTTTGTGGTAATACTTGAGTCCTACCGAAATGTTCCTTAAGGAAAAAAAAAGTTTTAATGAAATATTATCAGAGTGCCTTAATTACGATGATCTAGGGCACTCCAGCTTTGACAGATCGCACACTGAATACAACACACCAGTGTCGAACTGAAGCTATTCTAGTATCTCCTATGAATCTGGTGTCCACTGTGCATGATATGTCACTTCCTAGCATTTCAGATCCAGCACAGTTAAGGGGGACTATAAAATGTATTGATCCTTTCAGAAGGCACTTCTGACTTCTATCCATACAAAAAAAAAACAAGAATTTTGTGACCGTTTCCATAAACATTATGGGAACTTTAACGTCAGAAATCAGCGATGTTAATCTCCTATTAACAAACATTTTGATTAATCCAAACAGGAAGCAAAAACAGTCAGATAAATATGCTCCGTAGAACCGCGCCCCAGTTCATGAAAACTGGAAATGTTTTGTGAATATAATTAATTTGCGGAGCACTTCTCAGAGCCTTACTGAATGAACTTAAAAACAAAAAGGGACTGTTAAGTGTTGAATAATATTCCAGACGGGACGCAGCCCAGTGGATGGGGTCACTTGTTAGGAATGCCCGTAAAGGCAGAGCCTTTCTGTGCGAGAACAGCTGGCCAGACCAAGCCAGGCGATGGACACGGCAACAAAGAATGGGCTGCCATGCTTTATGGAGTTCAGGACGTGGGGGAATGGCATACGGCGGCACCAAAATAAGCTTGTAAAATTTAAAAAAGGTGGGGGGGGGGGACAGGGTGATTAACATGCGACTTACAACCCCCTCAGTTTCTGCACTGCACTCTGTGGAAATACAGGCTACATCATTCACAAAACGCACAAATGCAGAAACGTTTCAACTGACATTTGCGCACTGCGCACAACCAAAAGGTACAGTCTCAATATTTTTGGAAGCATTTACTACAGTGACATCTCTGCTTTAGTGCAAATATTTACACACGCAAAGCTATTAATGTGCTAGAAATATCTGGCAAATATTCTGCATAAAGGTATGGAGACTGGGAGAGAGATGATGAAAGAGAGAGGGAGAGAGGAAAAGAGAAAGACAGTAAGAGAGGGAGAGAGAGAGAGAGAGAGATCAGGAGAGAGAGAGGACTACATGTACTGTATGAGACTCATTTGGAAGACAGCCACACATTTCCTCACAGAAAAAGTGGAATTACGTCGTATTTCACATGGATTTGATTTCTAAAGTGAGAAAAATGTAAGAGGGAAGAAAATATGCAAAACGACAGAATAAATGCCTTAAAACACTGTAAAATATACCCAAAACCCACTTCCTCTCAACTTCAAGGAGATGTTCCTGAGAGGCTTCGAGATAGAGAGAGAGAGAGCAGGCCCAAGTTGCACGCCAGCGTCCACCGGAGGGCGCTCACCTGGTACATCCACTGGCTGAAAGACCGCTGCCAGGAGTCCTTCTTTTCCAGGTGCAAGTAGGTGTTGAACAGGATGAGGTACATGTACCGCTCGAGGAACTGCAGGCTCTTCAGCAGCGAGCACTGCATCTCCTTTTCCGTTTTGCCAGTCTTAATCTGTAGGACGGGGAGGGGGGGGCACACACAACAATGGGGTCAGTATAAAAATCAATAATTCGGAATGATAGGTAACACTACTCGACTCAAAATGTACACTAACTAAAGAGTCAACAAAGAAAAGCATTCCGAGCACAATACACACGTCACTCCCTGTGCAAGCCTAAGCAGCAGCACCCTTTCCAGTGTCTCCCCTTTTTCCACAATTATTTACCTCAAGACCTCTCATCGCATCAAATATCCAGCTTCATCCAACATCATCCCATAATGACCAGGGTCAGGTGACCAGCCCATTGACCAGGGTCAGGTGACCAGCCTTTACTCATCGTTAGTGTGCGTATAAAACTATTAATAAAGTAAGTACACGAAATGTGGTACAGTTCTGAAGCTATCTGACAGTGCTTCGATCCTGACTCTGCTATATACAAGAATTTTTTCTGTATTTCTTTATTTTTTCCTGACACCTTTGGGTTAACTACAGTGAGCTATTTACTAACATTTTATATTGTATATATGCACTTTTTTTTTTTTTTTTTTTTAGCTGTGCCAATCCCTCACACGTGCTTCATTTAACTCTTATGTGAATATGTGACACTAAAATACAAGGGGTGTTTCTCAATACCAAGAACGCAAAGATCATACTTGTGGTCTTGGCAAGACCGGTCTTGCTAACTTGCCTCCCAAGAATGAACTTGGGCCGTAATGAATCATGGCATTGGTCTCGTTCAGAGAGGATGCAACCGATGTATCCTTGATATTTGGGGCGGGGCAAGAATGACACGAACCCAGGTCCCAACGGTGTGAGTCGATAGTGCAAACCACTGCACCACTGTGCCACCCCAATGCAAAATTTCAATATCACAAAATGAAAGGAAAAAAATAAATGAAAAAACACTCAGTTGTGCCCTTTTGTACAGCAAGGCAGCCATTATGGGCAGAAGACAATTCAGCATGAACAAAGATAATTCATTTGGTCAAGAAATCAGGTCCCAGGCCCAAACCAATGTAAACCAACCCAAAATGATAAACTAGGACATTGCTACCAAATCCAGTCCTGGGGGACCCACAGACTGTCCACATTTTTGCTCCCTCTCAGTTCCCTACCAGACAGTACATATTTACCAGGAGCTGGGAGGGAACAAAAACGTGGACGGTCTGTGGGTCCCCCAGGACTGGATCGGGAAATTCCTGCTTCTCTCCCACCTCCTTCTCCTCCCTAACGTCCATCTGGTAACTGTATATTTCAGCTCATCAGCTCCACAATTGCAGGCCAGCCGGACACCCTTCGTACCAAGAAGGTTCACGGAACCGTAATTAAGACGCTCCACGATTCTGGATTCTCACAATGCAGGTGTTTACTTTCCAGACGTCCATTATTCCATTTCAAAATAATATTTCTACATATATCTCCTACAAACCTGGCCAGAAGCCAATATGTTGAGCTTCATTTACTGACCTGCACAGGTTAACTTTTTATCCCACGACAACTGCTACTTCCATACCAGCACACAACAACGATGAGGCTCTCAAAAAAAGAACAAGTTTATTTTTGTAGCCTTCATAGGGTATAAAAATAATTATTAAAAATGGTCCCTGCTGACAGAAAGCCTGGACATAGCCCTCCACAGAAAATTATTCCCCAGGCTTGATCATGAAGTAGTAAAGTTGTTTTGACAAAAGAATGATGCATTACAGTACAATTACATCGTAAATTCTTTAAAAGTAATTATCTTTATTTAAAATTGCCCTTAGACACTTTTGACACTACAGATACACAAAAGTTCTCAAAGGGTCAGTCTATAAGTGTTTTAAACTAATTTTTTGTCCATTTCCTGCTTAACAGTGTATTCCTGTGAGTGCTCAAATATGTCACACTTACAGTATTCAGTGCAAAGCCTTCTTCACAATTATTACTGCAGAGCAGTTTTTTGTTTATAGGAATGGGTGGGGGGTAAAGCTGCTTTTTCCTAAAGGCCGATGCCTGTGAAAATTAAACACCGGCACGCTAACGCAGGAGGATAGCTTGGACCAGCCCACACCGTAAATCACGGCGCCAGAGACCGGGGCAGAACGCATACGTGGGGGCACGGCTCAGAGAAGCCCAGCTATTTCCACAAGCGCGGCCGTAACGGTGGGCGGCGGGGTGCAGGGAAACACTGTGGGCTGCCATCATCTTAGGGCTTTTCATCTGGGAGCCCTAAGCGAAAAACCGGGAGACGCTGGGGGCGGAACGTAAGCGATAAAACACGGCAGCTTTTGTAAACAGCGAGGGGCGAGCGCGGTAAATCATCGCGGGCTGGGACAGCGGCTCGCGGCCACAAAGAGGCCGGATTCACGACCGGGTACCCCTCGTTAATGAAGCACACAGATACTCCACAACCCCTACCTGCTGGAAACTGAGGAAGTGCATCAGTAGGAAATTAAGAAAAAAAATAATACTCTTACAGTCAAGGGCGTAGGATAGAGTTCAATACTAGAGGGGGGAGGGGCATGACAAGTATTTAAATATGAAGGTCTATTTTTCTTGGGGGTGGACGAATGAAGCCAAATTAAGTATGGGGGGGGGGGGGGGGGGCCCCCAAGTCCCCCTTCGGTTCCTACACCCCTACTTCGTTTTGGTACCCGGGTTTTGAAGCTCAGCTGTATCTGAACCATAGATGATAGCCTTTCTACACTAAGGCTTCAAAGGCTTATGCTACATACATCTGAGAAAAATAAAATCAATCAGGATTCCATTAAATTCTATTAAACAATGGATTTCAGGAATGTTTGGCATGATTATTAACCTTTAGTTAAACTCTACTATAAAATATTTTCATAATAATATCATGAAAGCTTAATAAATGCCAAAGGAAATGGGTAAAGTACCCATTGTTAGTACTCATGCAACTCAGCTGCTGAAGGCGACCAGCCCATTCATTCGCTTCACTGGGGCCTTATTAACACATATTACAGCAAAGACTTCTGTTTTTTTCTTCTGGCCCGAACACGTGGAGAACCTGACGCCCAACCTTATCCCCAGGGGTGGCCCGTCCCAAGACCATACACCCGTCTCATTTTCTAAAAATTGGTGTCTTCTGGTATCATTCCTAGGCACCGTTTAGATAAACCCTTCTCCGGTTTCCTACCCAAATAAAAGTTTCCATTCTCTCCTCCCCACCCTATGCCACACGGTTGGGTTAGCCAGTCAGACTAGGGAAAGCCTTACTCTTGCATGGTGAATCCTTAACTGGGACTGGAAGGTTGGTAGAAATGTGTGCACCACACAGCCTGCAAATAACACACTCACAGCAAATAACACACTCACAGCAAATAACACACTCGCAGGCACATTAAAATTCATCCTACCTGAGGGCGACCAGCACAAAGCTATTTAGTTACACTACGCCCCCTAACCTTAGTGCCATTATAATATATTTTTTTCGTGAATTTGCATCTGCATCCTTGAGAAAAATCAACTGGTACATGAACAAAATTGCAACCACGTGTGAGACGGACGGTGAAGAAAATGCACAGCGACAAGACAAAATGGTGGTCAGAATAACCGCCTCCGCAATGACTGTGCACCGGCGTGACGGAACGCTGGGGTCTGCAATACAACACAAGAATTTGCCAGAAACATCCATCCATCTGGATGAATAGCCAGACTGTTAATAACTTACGGGCACTTGTGCATGAATCTGACCGTGAGGCCGTTCGCACGGCGGCCGTGTTTAAGTGGACGGGAGGACATGTTGATGGATCTGAGGGTTTGCTGTAGTCAGGGAAGTAGCACATTAAATGGAATGAACGCTCACGGAAAGCGCCAGGCTTACGGGTCTGTCAGGCGATTACCTCATCGCTTTGCTGAATGAGTACACATTCGGGGAATAAAGCCTGGGAGCTCCCGGGAATCACGGAGACAGATAGATAGATATGAACATCCATCCTGGTCAGGGCCACAGGTGGACGGACACCAGCAGCCAGTTCGAAAGGAGGATGTGTGAAGGATGTGTGAAGGATCCCCTCTCTTTTTTAAAATAAGCCCTGGCTCTCACAGGAATATTTTATCATCTTATGCTGGTGCCAGGTGGACTATACTCACAGATGCTTAGATTGCTTGTTTACTGCATGTTTATTCCAGCTTAGATTGCTTGTTTACTCCATGTTTACTCCTGCTTAGATTGCTTGTTTACTCCATGTTTACTCCTGCTTAGATTGCTTGTTTACTCCATGTTTACTCCTGCTTAGATTGCTTGTTTACTCCAGTTATCTTCACGGCACATTTTACTATACAAATCACGCCACGTTAGCATGTTTATCCCCTTCGCTCTGTTTGCATGCCAACGTCACTGGCAGCCGTTTCTGACATTGCGTCCTCCGGCCAGCTGCAATAACCGGGTACGGCCCAGTTAAATTCTGAAGAACTAAAGACTTCAGCTGTTTCAAAACACCCTGCGGCGTCTGGGGGGAATTTAAAAAGCAGGGCATCACGCTGACTCTATGGAGAGCAGGGCATGGTGGGGGCTTGGGGCCACGTCCGTCATGCTAGCGGGATGCTGCGCATGCTACCGGCCGTGGGGGGCAATCGGCCCCCGTTCGGTACAGGTCCGTGTTCTCTCTACAGCACACTTTGGACACGTTGCCCAGCCACAGTGACTGAACTGCAGTCCTCTCCAGATGGCAATTACAGGCCGCTGGAAGACAGATGACTCACGCTGAAGCCCACACATATCTGAAAGTGAATCATAATCATTAGGAGGCTCTGGTTCTCTCACACTGGTCCTGGCCGGGGAAGCAAACTCGCCCCCTCACACAGTGCGCATAGGCAGCCCGGTCTCTAGAGGCCCCTCCGGTGCCCAAAATCCATATTCTGATACCAGTGACCCCTGGAGGTTAGGGATCACAAAGGCTGTACACTGCAGGGAGGGAGTGACCAGCTCTCCCCGCCAGCTGAATCAAAGCAGCTAAAGGCTAACTGAAGCTGTACCTAGTCATTATAATGGAGAACTTCAGACAGG